GGGGGGGGACGGGGGGGGGAGGGAAGAAAAATCAACAGGGGGGGGGGGAGTAATAACAACGACAAGAATCGTCGGGGTCGCTTTGACTGATAAAACGAGTCGGGAGCATGATTGAGCAGAGGAAATGGAAAAAGGGCCACTGGAACACGGCGAAGTATGAATTAAGAAGGACGGAGAGAACGAGGAGAGAGGAGGATCCGGGGTGACAGGCAGGGGGGAGAGGGGATCGAGAAAGGGCGGTGAAAGCGGAGTCGGAGATGAAAGGGGAGAACGTGGAGAAAGAGGAGAGATAAGGGAGATGAGAAAGAGGAAGGATCGGCGGGGAGCAATTTTAGGGAAGAGACAGGGAAATATTGAAAAGAGTCGAGTTTAAGGGTGAAGGGGCGCGCAGGGGCGGGAGGAGAGCGGAATGGATGCGAGAGCGTGTCTGGCTCTCGAGCGCTTCCTCTTCGGCCCGGAATCGGATAGGCTGCGAGCGGGGAGGCTGCTCTTTCGCGAGCAGTTTCGCTCTGATGGAGGGTGACGCGCGGTCCTCTCGACGACGCCAGCCCGCATGAGCATACCGGCAATTTACGACGATCTCGAAAGCGTCGACGGAAGCGTCTCGAAGCGTAATATCGCGTCCTCCCGGCGCGGTGCGGCGCGGAGCGGTGCGAAGCGGCGCGAAACGCCGAGCGATTCTTAACGACGCCGGGAGCGGACGGGGCCCGTCGCTGCCGGAAATGCGTCCTCCAACGCGTTCTACATCGTTCACGACGATGACGACGACGACGACGACGACGACGGCGATGACTCGGCCGCGCAAATGAACGCGGAAGAATCGGTTTAGCTGCTCGACACGAGCGTAATTTCGTGCTCGGGCATGTTCGGTACCGCGGAATGGGTTCGCTCTCTCGCTAGGCGCGATCACGATTGGACGATTGTGGCTTCGGGTTTTCGTCGGGTTTCTTCTGGCTGCGACGATCGGGCTTTTCGGAACGGAGTTAAGAACGGAATTACGATCGAATTTGCTCGAGGAATTGTAATTACGCGGTGATTCGATTGCATTGTTGTTCGTAATTCGGTTAATCGCCGTTGGATTTAATTAGGTTGTAATTCGTTGTAGTTCCGATCGCCGTTGAATTAAATTGCAAGGTAATTCGATTGCGAAGTTATTCGATTACATCGTAGTTCAATTGCGTTGCATGTGAATTTCATTGTAATTCAATTAGATTGTGTTTCAATTACATTGTATGTGAATTACATTATATTTCAATAACATTGTATGTGAATTGCATTATATTTCAATAACATTGCATTCAAATTCCTTTGTATTTCAATTACATTGTATTTCCGTTACATTGAATTTCAATTACACTGTACTTCAGTTACATTGCATTTCAATTATATCGTATTTCAGTTACGTCATATTTCAATTGCAATGCATGCGAATCACATTGTAATTCAATTATATTGCATTCAAATTCCTTTGTATTTCAATTACATTGTACTTAAATTACATTGCATTTCAATTACATCGTATTTCAATTATATCATATTTCAATTGCAATGCATGCGAATTACATCGTAATTCAATTACATTGCATTCAAATTCCTTTGAATTTCCATTAAATTGAATTTCAGTTACATTGTAATTCAATTAGATTGCATTTCAATTACATTATAATTCAGTTGGATTGTGTTTCAATTACTTTATAATTCAATTACACACACACATTGTACTTCAATTTCATTGCATTTCAATTACATCGTATTTGTGTTACGTCATATTTCAATTGCAATGCATGCGAATCACATTGTCATTCAATTACATTGCATTCAAATTCCTTTGAATTTCCATTCCATTCCATTGAATTTCAGTTACATTGTAATTCAATTAGATTGCATTTCAATTACATTATAATTCAATTGGATTGCGTTTCAATTACATTATAATTCAATTACACACACATTGTATGTGAATTACATCGAAATTCAATTAGATTGTATTTCAATTCCATTGTATGTGAATCACATTGTATTTCAATTACATTGAATTCAAATTCCTCTGTACTTCAATTACATTATATATCCATTACATTGCACTTCAATTACATCACATTTCAATTGCAATCGCGATCAAAATAATTACAAACTGAATCAATTCAAAGGTTCGAATCTTTCAATTGAATTACAACGTAATTCAAATGCAATGTAATCGAATCCCAACGCAATTCAAATGCAATCCAACCGAATCACAAAAACCAATCATTCGAAAACCGAATGATCAAAGCGGACGATTCGAATACTCCGAGTCGCTGTTGACCCAGCCGTCGCGTAGCGCGAGCGTCGAAGCAAAAGTATTAA